GTATAGATTCAAAAAATAACCGGCACTCACGGTTTTCTCAAGTAATATCACTTTAATACTCGGAATTAAAGTGATATTACTTGAGAAAACCGTGAGTGCCGGTTATTTTTTGAATCTATACACACACACATATATATTAATTCTACATATATATTTATGTAATATTTTTACATAATTGGGTATCTTAATTAATTACAATTAGCGGGACCTGCCTGACAACCCATGCCGAAAGTAAAGGGAATTTAAACACTGGCCAAATTTGGCGTTTTTTGCATTTTTCACACAAACAAATACTAACGCTAACTTTGGCCAGTGTTTGTGACCAAATGGCTACTAAAAAAGACTGGACATACCCCATTTGCAATACCTTGGGTTGTCTACTATTGCAAATGGTATTCCATTATGGGTGTAAATTTCATTCCTGGGCTACTATAAAGTCCCAAAGGCAACATAACCAATCTGGCGAATTTCAATTTCAAATGTAACGTGCTATATTTGACCCTGTAACTTCCCAAAATGCCATAAAACCTGTACATAAGGGGTACTGTTTTACACGTGATACTTTGCTGAATACAAATATGTGTATTTTATTGCAGTAAAAGCAAACAGTATTATGACATTGACCGTTAAAATGTCATGTAGAACTAAAAAAATAAAGCAAAATCTTATTTTCTCCCATTATTTTCATATTAAATTATGTTTCATAGCTAAATATTTGATATTAAATGAAAGCCCTGTTTCCCCTGAATAAAATGATATATAATAAGGGTGGGTGTATTTAATATGAAAGAGGTGTATTACGGTTGGACAGACATGTAGTGCAAATGCCAGGTTTTGTTTACATTTTGTTTCGTTCACAATGTGTACATTTGGCTCCGTCCTTAAGGGGTTAAAAAACAATTTGTTACAAAGATTGTTTTTATCTTTGTGTATGTTTAGGTGACCAGGGGGCAACAGAGAGTGGGGGTGAGTGAGGGGGGGGGGGCGACCTCAACACGCCTTAAAATATAAAATACTACTTATAGAAATTAGCCTCACTCCTATAAATTTAGAACCATATAAAATATATTTTTCATTGCAAACTCCCAGCTGTGATATTTTTGGCTAGGGGGTGACATGTAATCTTGGTTCTGTCTATGCTTTTATTAGATTTTCATGTTGGATTTCTAATGCCCGCTCGTCACAGTAAATATACCAACCAATAGAGAATATATTACTAACTTGAGAGAGATTATCATGTCCTCATTTCCCCAGGGAATTGTTCCAACATTTGATTATGGTCATAAGGTAATCGCCCAGAACACTCACTTAAAGAACCACTATAGTTCCAGGAAAACATACTCGTTTTCCTGGCACTATAGTGCCCTGAGGGTGCCCTCACCCTCAGGTACCCCCTCCTGCCGGGCTCTGGGGAGAGGAAGGGGTTAAACTTACCTCTTTCTCCAACGCCGGGCGGGGAGCTCTCCTCCTCCTCTCCTCCCTCTTCTCCTCCTCTTCAGCTGAAGGCGCATGCGTGGCAGGAGCCGCGCGCGTATTCAGCCAGTCCATAGGAAAGCATTCACAATAAATAAAGGTGCTACCAAATATATATATATTTGTGCTCGGAATTTAATATGTAATGGATAATGTCAGAGATAAAAGTTGGTTGAGTTGTGCTGAAACCAACGTCCGAGTGGGCCTGTAAATAAAAGAGGGCCCACCAAGGAGAATTGTATGTACTAAGGGTGTCGGTGGGTGGGGAACACTTGAACTCGAACGTCAGAGGTGAGTAGGGGCTGGGTGTTTAAGTAGGGGACTTACTCCTCCCACAAATTCAGGCCTAATGGCCTTTTTACTTGTGCTTGGAATTTAATATCTAATGGATAATGTCAGAGATAAAAGTTGGTTGATGTGTGCCGAAACCAACGTCCGAGTGGGCCTGTAAATAAAAGAGGGCAAAGAGAAGTTCGGAAAAAACACACTTTATTGCATTTGATTACATGACTAAATTCCTGAAGGCTTGGCGAAGTTCTCTTTCTGGCCGTGGAATATACGTATTGTATATAGAGGACTTTCAGCGGCCCAGTCTCTTTATGATGTGGACCGGTGTGTTAGTGCTAGAAGCTGATGAAGCGGCCCCTATGCGAAAGGAATGCCCGGAGAATGAAGTTGGGTTGTAACCCAATTTTTCCAGTAAGATTCTGACATGTGGTGAATTTTGTTGTAGTGAGTGGGTGCCCTTGCAGTTGTAATAGTGGTGAGTCTGGTAGGTGTGTGCTATAAGCTGACCGTAACATGTCTAGTGTCTTAACTGGACACCAAGCATTGTCTGTTGGAAAGAGAGGAATAATAGTGGGGTGTAGGGACTGATTTGTTTTGGTAGATGGGATTGTGAGAATGTAATAGTCGTCTTTTTTAGTGAGTTGTGAGGTTTTGAGGCTGTGAGTGGTATCCCCTTGACAAACAACAATAAATTCCCTAGGTCTTAAGAACCCATAAAAAGCCAAATAGATTGCAGATTTGATCACCAGGTTAGTGTTGGGATCAAAAGGGGATTCGTCGAGGAGGTTGCTCAGCAATCTAAAGATAGGCCCATCTATAGGTAGTCTGGTGGTGATAGGTGGAACTGATACTTTAGAGATTCCCTTTAAGATTTTCTTTATGGGGTAAGATGATAAAAAGGGGGTGTTAGGGAAATTTGTGAGGCTGTGGTGCTGCACCCCCGTGAGGTATAATTTTATGGTGTTGTGGGAAAGTTTTAAATGTAAATGGCAAAAAGAGGCAAAAGGTGATAGTAGTGTTTGGTGACAGTGCTTGGTGCGTAAGTGTCCTGGCGTGGTGCATCAGTGTGTTTAATCCAAGATTAGCTCGTGAAAATTCGGTGTTCTCGATGGTTGATGGTGGGCTGACGGGAGTGCCTGGAAAAACACCTGAAATTGAGATCGAGACAGAGCATCAGCGGCCGTGTTGTGAATACCTGGGATGTGAAGGCAAATTAGGTGGAACTGGACGGTTGCTGCCAACCAGGTCAGCTTGCGAATCAGCCTCATAATGGTAAGAGAGGATGAGCGCCCTTTGTTGATGATATTGCAAGCTGACGAATTGTCGGAATAACACTTTACTGCCTTGCCGGACCAGAGGTGACCCCAAGTGTGTGCGGCTGCCACAATGGGGCAAATCTCAAATAGAGCTGAAGTTTCTCTAAACCCTGGCAAGGCTGGCCAGTGACCCCTAAACCAGTGATTACCAAATATGGCTGCAAAACCCGTGTTGGCTGCAGCGTCAGTGTAAATGCAGGGAGAGGAGTCTGAGAGGGGGGGAATAAACATGGAGATACCATTCCATAGGGACAAAAACTGCCCCCACATGCCTAGGTCAGCTTTGGCGTGCTGGTCCAACGCAATTGGACAGGCGTCCGGTTCCCCGTGAAGCAGACAAAGGAGCCTGGACACAAAAGATCTGCCCTGCGGAATGATGTGCATTGCAAAACTCAGGGACCCCAATAAGGACTGAAGTTCTTTCCTGGTGCATACATCGCTCCGCAGGAACCTGTCTATTTCCCCTCTCAGGCGGATGAGTTTTTCAGTGGGAAGGCTGGCTCGGAAGGTGGCAGAGTCTAGCTCTATGCCCAAGAAAGTGAGTTTGGTGGTGGGGCCAATTGTTTTAGCAGGAGACAAAGGAACACCGAGAGTGGAGAAAAGTGCAGAGGTGCTGAGGATATCGGTGGGTGTGTGTGTGCTAGGTTCTATGATGAGGAAGTCATCCAAGTAGTGAATGACAGCGTGACACCTAATAATGTTCAGAAGCAGCCAGCATAGCGTTTCCGGGAAAATATCAAAGAGTTTGGGGCTGCTTCTGGAACCGAAAGTGAGGCGCGTGGCAAAATAGTACCTGTTACGCCATTTAACACCGTGCAAGTGCCAAAGTGATGGGTGTATGGGCAGTAGTTTGAAAGCGTTGGTAATGTCTGTTTTGCTAAGCCAAGCGTTGCTGCCAGTTGATATGATGGTTTGTATGGCGTCGTCTATTTTAACGTATTGTAGTGAGAATTCGTCTGCGGGGATGAGTGCATTGATGCTAGGAACAAAAGAGGAGTGCGGTGCGATAAATCAATAATCATACGTTTTTTATTTGAATATTTGTGAACCGCTATACCAATAGGGTTAGTGCGCCAGGAGGAAAATGGTGAGGAGGTGAAGGGGCCGATCATAAAACCTTGAGTTACTTCTGTGGAGAGAAGAACGTCCGTGGCCTCTGGGTCTAGACAGGCTGATAGGAGGTTAGGGCATTCCAGTATCCCTGAGGGGATGACCACGAGACCCGTGTGAAAACCCTGGGTAAACCCTGTAATGAGAAACTCCACCAGATGTTTACTTGGGTGATCTTTAAGGTAAAAGGCCAGGTTGTCGATATTAACATCGGTTAGTCATTTGTTGGGTGACAACCTGGCCGGACACATGGTCTTAGTGTGTGCCCTGAAACAGATGGAGCAGATGTGCAACAATCTACAAGCGCTGAAGCTGCAGGAACCTGCATTGAAGTTGTTGCACAGCTGCGCCTTCCCCAAAAAGGAGATGGGCCTCCCTAGTTTATCCCTCTGTCTGCCTTCCTGTTTAGGGTGAGGAGTGGAAGAGGATTGAGGGGTGGGAGTGGGGGTGGGTGGGTCTGGGTGGGTCAGCCATAGAAGGGCACAGATCAGCCAAGTGGGTTGAGGAATTGCATATGGCGCAAGACGGGGGCCTCAGACCAGTGAAGTGGCGACAAAATAGTTCTGTATCCATCTGACACCAGTTAATTCTTACATTGAACTGTTTCAGATGGGTCGCCGCTTTCGCTGATATCGATTTGTGATAATCATAAAAAGATGAGCCCCCGTACTTAACACCCAAATCCACCACTTTATGGAGATAGAGGTCCAGTTCCTCTCTCCTGTGGGGATATACCGAGCAGATGACATCCCGGTATATCCCGAAGGCCAACACGAAATTGGGAATTGACAACTTTTTGTTGAGCCTTGGGTCTCTGGTTTTAAGAACCACTGAGATATCGACAAAATTATAAGCCCTGTTCTCCAGTACGTCTTCCTTCCTAATGGAGTCTGGGACGGAGTGTGCTGGTGACACGAAAGGCGACATGACTGGAGC